GTTTTCCTTTGAGTAGGCTGCGAAAGGCTCCTCGAAAACGGGCCGACATCAAATTATACAGAATCGGGTTGATTGCACAATTGATGAAGATCATCGTCTTTGAAAAGAAGATATACCTGAAACAACTGCTGGTTCAACTTTTATGTCAATAGATGACTTTCGTTAAGTTTCATAATACAGCTGAGCTTCCTTAGGAGTATTAGCTTGCTTTAGAGATGAAAAACTTCACTGCTGGATTCTGCCTTTTCAGAGCGCAGTTTCCTACAGACTGGTTTCTCATTTTGCAACGCATTTCTTGAAAAGAAAAGCGTCTTCCGGTGGAATTAAGATTTTCTTGCCCGAGTGACATAATTTAGCTGTACCATTGGAGACGTAAGCAAAATAGAAGTTTCAGCGGCTAGGCAATGAAGAGAAGTCACAATGTGAGTTCAGACATCCAGATGAAATATACCCTAGTTCGCTGCGGATAAAGGGGCGTGTCAGGCAGTATGAGTGTGCCGGGCGCCAAAGCCGTCCTCAGCCAGTTGTTGAAGCGGCTTTGCGACACAATTGGTAGAAAACGAATGATGCGAACGATATGATACGGTATTATCAGTTTCGCAACAACTGGTGGAGAACGGGTTCGGCACCGCGACAAACTCATCCCGCCTGACACGCCTCTTCGTCCGTAGCGAATTACACTATTAGCTGCCTTAGCGTGAAGACGCTATTTGTTCTAAGATTTAATTCTGAAAATCCATTTCCACCGTAAGCAGCCGTAGGTAAGGTTTCGCTATTGAGGTGCTGGGGCTGGAATTGTGTTCAAAATGCTCCGAAACGAAGGAAAACTTTGCCGCACATCCAGATCGCTGCGAGAGTTTAGCGCTCCCGCGATTGTGAGTCGACCAAATCATTTAGCGTTTGAACCATTAGCATCAATTCAAGGCAAAACTTTGATTTCTACGGAAATATGAGCACTGTTCGGCTTGGGAGAGGCATTTTGCTCTTTCGATTTTTTTTCTTTTGTTGATTCACATTAATTAACAGGTCTAATTTCGATGGACCAGTGAACTCGTGTGAAGCTGCGAAATGGTACAAAAGAGCCACTCAGGTTACAAGAATCTACAGGTTCCACAAGTGGGCAGCACAGAGTGTCATTTGGTGTCCCCCCCCCCAAGCCGAATAGCGGCGGAATATGCCCTATTTCGAAGAGAATCGCTCCTCTCTTCAAAGATTTCCGGCTTAGACTGAGAAGCAAAAACCTTAGGAGTTCTGGGAATATTGAGAGACGTCGCCTCTAACGATGTGCGATTGTTTCGTTGATATTTGTAAAAATGAAAAAGGTATTCTGAGAGCTTTAGTCATTTTCGTCTTATTATTGAATTAATTTCAGGACTAAAATGAACAAAACAAACCCGTCCGAGTTCCATTTTTCGTCACGAAACGAGTTGTTCACCACCATAGCTCGATAAGGCAGCCAACATGTAGCGAACACGAACACCACCAAGGCCAACATTTTCACAACCTGAAAGTCCCGTGAATTTTAGGAATCTCTCCGTTAGTCTCTAGAAAAGAAAAAAAAACAATATCCTTCAACAAACGCTACCTGATTTCGCCCTTTTGATGAACTTCGTCGGCCAGTGATATGACTCTCTTTTCCTTCGCTCGCCACTTGTGTTGAAACTAGGCTGCTGGTTTTGGCGGCTAAAAAAAAAAGATTTAAATTCGATTTAATTCGAATAAAAATTATTTAAATTTCAATTTGATCTGCTCCCTAGACATTTGCATGGCCATTTTCGTGAACCCGAGCAGGCTTGCACACAACCACCCCCAAATTCCTTTTGCGAATCTTGAATTTGATTGCGCTTCTTTAACCTACCCCTCCCTTCCATGCCTACGTGCAGTCTTCTTCTTCGCATTTCTGCACGAAATTCTCATCACAAAAAGCGAACCTTCGTGAAGAGGAGTCAGAGTCAAGGCTTAGCGAATTACAGGCAACGCCCGTTCTCTGTGCACAAAATTACTTCAAAATTGTTTCAAGGTTTTCTGGAGCTTCAGGATCAACTGAAATAGAACATGGTTCTAATGCACCCTTCAAAACGTAATTACTCCACATTAGTATTCATTTGAGCGTTATTTTGCAAAAACCTGCAAATACAGATCAAACCAATGCTAATAGCTCTACTGATCTCAAATTGTAAATCTTTTGAGGAGAATGATTTCCAGTTAGGAGCTATAAAAAAGAATTCCAGAAAGAGGTCAAAATTGGCAGTTTCAGGAGATTTTCTGCAAACTTTGGAAGGTTTTAAAGGTTTCAGAGATTTTCACACAATTTGCCCATTCCCAGTGAGATTGAGCCACTTCGCGGCAGAATGTGATGCGGCGGTCTTGGCGAGAAGGTGCAGACGCCCACGAAGAGTGAGCTACTTCCACAGGACACTTCATCGATGGGGCATTCCCCAACGGGGGAGGGGGTGGCATTTGGTTGCTGGGGAGAGAGGGAGGTCGTATTTGATCTGAGAAAAAATGTTTTTAATAGTTAATTTTTTTGGGAGTTGTTTAATTTTCGTGGCTTTCGGTTCTTCCTGTTTTGATATGTACTATATGCCCCCCCCCGCTCGACAGCTCGATGAGGGAAGGAAGTAGAGGAGCAGGTCGTACCAACCTATGTACCTAAAAAAAGAGGGGGGGGGCGCGGACTCTACCAAAATCCCCAACTAATGATGTGCCCTGAGCTTACATGGATTGCTAGATTGTTAGGAAAGTCATGTCAGTTTTTTTGGAAAGTCCAGGCTTTTGATGTTCATGATAAGCCATGTTATAAATATAAGACATTCTCAAAGCTCCTTAGCAAATGATTGAGTGGCCGTCACTTCTTCCCTTCCTTTGCACTGGATATCAATTCTGCAAGTCATCTTGCATTAAATGCGAGGTCGCGGAGGAGTGACATCAGCTCGTAGCATCATCATTGCACATAATGTGAAGGCGCCGTCATCGGTACTGGTCACCTCCGTTCTGCTATGAGACTTGCTCTAAGGTATGCTTTTGTCGAAGTTTCGCAGCTGAACCCGCATCCCTGCGGAAATCTCCGTCATGCTCCACGAGAATCTGTTAGCTAGCACCCACATTCTCGCAAAACGCGAATGTAGCCTCCCAATAGTTCTCTGTCCAAGCCCTTGGCTGCAGAGTACTGCTGACGCCATGGATCCCTGATAGATCTTGACAGGCTAGGATATCCATTTGCAGTTCCCTCCTTTTCCGCCCACATCATAAGCCGCCCGGGGAAGATTTGATTACCTATGATTAGGATGGGGACTCTTTAGTCACTATTTGGGGCATGCCGCGTGGGTGCTTCTAAAAGAATCTGCTCTAT